TATCTATCTATCTATCTATCTATCTCCTATCTATCTATCTATCTATCTATCTATCTATCTATCTATCTATCTATCTATCTATCTATCTATCTATCTCCTATCTATCTTCTATCTATCTATCTATCTATCTATCTATCTATCTATCTATCTATCTGGTTTCCACCACCACCACCCGTGTTTTTTGGGAGAAATGTATCTGTGGGGAATTTCGCCTCAACTTCTGACCCAAGAGAGCAGCCAGTGGGTGTCGCAGAGGAACTAAGAACAGCTGCTTTCTGATTCGGGTGAAGCAGGGAGGCATTTCTTAGCACCATTTGCACGGATTCCTGGGGAGGGAGGGGCAGGGAAACAGAGGCCTTTTCAAAGCCTTGCCATTCTTCATCCCCAGAATGCCTTTTAACCTGACTGGGCTCTGTGGAACGTATAAAGTGTGACCATTGGTTGTCCCCACGTTCCTTTTTTTTCGAAAAAAGGCATTTCTCGTGTTTTTTTTTTCTTTGAAAACGTCTCGCTTCTCATCCAAGAAGCTTCTTCAGTTCTCGAATGAGAAGCAAAACGTCTTCAAAGAAAAACAGGGAAGTCCGGTTGCCTCTTGAAAAAAAAAAAAAAAAAAAACGCCTTTGGGAGAAGGAAGAGACTGACATCGCAATACGTAACTTTAATCCGCAGGACCATTTCCCCAACTTTTTAAAAAGGCTTCTGCAGTTTAGGAGTTGCAACTTATGCTTTGAGGCTGCCACATCTAAAATGTCAGGAAGGTGAAAGGATGGACAATGCTGCATAGAATATTTAAAATAAAACAAGATTTGATAAACAAGGTCCACTGCAAAGGGATGACCTCTGAGTTTGTCTGGATTCTTACATTCTATTTGGTTGCATCTGTTCCAGTGTCTCCATTCTATTTATGCTCTAGTTATCATATTTCTTTTCCTTAAAATTAGACCTATGAAAGCTACAGACACAGTGAAGTAGTAGCATTTTACACAGAAGTTAACATTATTCAAACTTACCTGGGCAGGCCACCAAGGTCCCACTCTGAGCATATATACGGTCCGGGACGCAGAATTACCCATAGTCCGACTTCTTCTGCTATCCCAAGAAAAGCCCTAGAGAAGCAAAGGAGAAATGGCAACAGCACTGCAAGGGCAGAGCAACCTCAAATTTAGCAAAGGAAGCTCAAAATAGCAAACGCAATGGCACTTAAAACTCATATACTGCTTCACAGCCCTCTCTAAGCAGTTTACAGAGTCACCATTTTGCCCCCAATAATTTGGGCCCTCATTTTACAAACCTCGGAAGGATGGAAGGCTGAGTCAACCTTGAGCTAGTCAGGATCAAACGCTTGGCAGTTGGCAGAACTAGCCTGCAATACTACATTCTAACCATCGTGCCACCACGGTTCAAAAACTAACTTTATCTAAAGACCTAATTATAGAACGTCGGGATTATTTAAAAACCCATGACATTTTCCTGCCAACTAAATTCTGTTGATAGTTTTATAGAGTTTGCAAAAGTTATAGCTATCAAGGCTCAAATATAGTTCTCTCTGTGTCTTTCCCCATCAGGATCTTATTCTAACAGTCATATAGACATTCTATTGAGATCCTACTTTTATTTATACGCCTCAAAGCAGCATACTTAATGATCAATCGCTTTTATTACCGCCCATAGCACAAGAACCTCGTGCATTTCTAATTTCCAACTCAAGCTGTCTCTCCAACTTTTTACTTCTCAAACCACCCCTCCGTTTCCCAGTGCTGTATAGGAATGAGAAACTCAGCACTGTGTAAATTTGATCTCAGATGAAAACAGATTCTTAGATTACTAGATTTGTTTTGTAAGGAAAAGGCAAGTCGCCCGATACATACTGCAGATCCAAATTTCCGCTGAAGTCAAACTTCCCTCTGACGGCCTCATGAAGGTTCCACGGTACGTACCTGGAACGAGCAGCGAATAAGTATCTCCTAAGTAGAGGCACGTGACCGATCCGATTTTACGACTTTTGCAGCACACGTTAAGCCAAGGTCCTCAAATTTGGCAAGACTTGTGGATTTCAACAAAATGAGAAATAAATGCTAGGATGTATTATAGCAACACCACTTAGACTTATATACCGCTTCACGGTGCTCTAGAGCCCTCTCTAAGCAGTTTACAGTCAGCATATTGCCCCTAACCATCTGGGTCCTTCCTTAGGCAGCAGGATGTTGCAAACAGCCATAAGGGCAACCTGGGTGCTAAGCGCCCCTTGAGTGTGGGATTCCCACAACCATCGAAACTACAGAATCTGGGTTGTAAGTACCCTCTGGGTGTGTGCGTCAGAACTTTGAACGGCTACTAAATTAAGCTGCTAAGTCAAGGACTACCCGGTGAAATCAGCAATTACAATGGAGACATAGCTGAAAGGGCCCTGAAGAGCATTCAAGCCTTACGTGGTGAGGGTGTTCAGGCCGCAGGCCTTCATCTTCACCAAGCGGTCCCTCCAATATTCCCGGGGGATGCGGAAATAGTGCATTGAGCCGCCAAGGATGCGAAAGGGCTTCTCCTCCAGCAGGAACTGCGAGTGCTTGGCCTGTAAGCCCAGCACTCGGCCCCAGAACCGCATGGGAATTATGTTCGTCAAGTTGAACCTGGACAGGAAAGAAGGGAAAGCACAGCAGTAGCAGAGCCAGCTAAGAGAGTCAGTTTCATCTAGTGGATCAAGCGCCAGGCTAGAAAGCGGGAGGCCGTGAGCTCTAGTCCTGCGGTAGGCATAAAAGCCATCTGGTTGATTTGGAGTAATCGCCCCAAACCGGCTTTCTTGACTAAAGTAGGACCAGAAGTCCCAATCTCCTGGTGATTGGTCAAAGGAACCCAGTTGGATTCATGCCGGAGGTGTGACTAGAACTCCCAATCTCCTGGTGATTGGTCAAAGGACA